AGTGGTGGCACAACAGTCGTGACAATGGTGACACGATGGTGGTGACACAGCGGTGGTGGCACAGTGGTGACAGCGGTGGCACAGCAGTGGTGACAGTGGTGACAATGATGGTGACAGCAGCGACACATTGATGGTGACAATGGGGTGACAATGGCTGTTCCTCAGGCGGTGTCGGGGGTGGCCGTGACGCGGTGGTGGTGGCACGGTGACATCGATGGTGACAGCAATGGTGACACAGCGGTGGTGGCACAGCAATGGTGACAACAATGGCCTGCTGATGGTGACAGCGGTGACACAGCAATGGTGGCATGATGACAGTGATGGTGACACAGCGGTGGTGGTGGCACAGTGACAGCGATGGTGACACAGCGGTGGTGGCACAGCCACAGTGGAGGTGACAGTGGCACTGTGGTGACAACAGCCGCGCAGCAAGGTGACAGTGACACTGCCGGGCTGGGGACAGCAGGGACAACGGTGGCATGGAGCGAGTGACATCACAGTCCATGTCACAGCCTGGAGCTGGTGTGTGACAGTGACACAGTGACACAGTGACACAGTGACACAGTGACAGTGACACAGTGACACAGTGACAGTGACACAGTGACAGTGACACAGTGACAGGGACACAGTGACACAGTGACAGTGACACAGTGACACACTGACAGTGACACAGTCACAGTGACAGTGACACAGTGACAGTGACACAGTGACAGTGACACACTGACAATGTCCCCGTGTCCCCAGGTGACAGAGTACCGTGTCCCTGTCCCCCGTCCCCTGGGCCGCCTGTTGCTGCTGCAGGTGCACAAGGGGCCCTGTGGGGGTCTCCCCGAGAGCTCCTGGTACCTGGAGAGCGTCACCGTGTGGGGACAGCGCGGGGACACCCCCGGGAACACCCCCGGGGACAGTGACGGTGACAGCGACGGTGACAGCGACGGTGACAGTGATGGTGACAGCGATGGGGACAGCTGGGACGAGGAGGAGGAGGAGGAGGAGGATGAAGGTGACAGCGAGGAGGAGGTGGCAGAGGAGGAGGAGGAGGAGGGGACAGGTGACAGCGAGGAGGTGACAGAGGAGGAGGAGCTGGAGGAGGAGCCTGAGGACAGCGCGAGTGACATCGGCACTGCCAGCACAGGTGAGCGTGGTGGCACAGGTGACACCTGGAGTGGCACAGGTGACACCTGCAGTGACACAGGTGACATTGGCACTGCCAGCAGAGGTGAGGGTGGTGGCACAGGTGACACCTGGAGTGGCACAGGTGACACCTGCAGTGACACAGGTGACACCTGGAGTGGCACTGGGGACACCTGCAATGGCACAGGTGACACCTGGAATGGCACAGGTGACATCGGCACTGCCAGCACAGGTGAGGGTGGTGGCACAGGTGACACCTGCTATGGCATAGGTGACACCTGGAGTGGCACAGGTGACACCTGGAGTGGCACAGGTGACACCTGCAGTGGCATTTGGGACACCTGCAATGGCACGGGTGACACCTGGAGTGGCACAGGTGACATCATCAGGTGCACAGGTGACAGCTGTAATGGCACAGGTGACATCTGCAATGGCACAGGTGACATCATCAGGTGCACAGGTGACACCTGCAATGGCACAAGTTGCACCTGGAATGGCACAGGTGACATCGTCACTGCCAGCACAGGTGAAGGTGGTGGCATAGGTGACACCTGGAGTGGCACACATCACATCATAACCTGCAAAAGTGACACCTGTGCCACTCCAGGTGACATCACCGCTGCAGGTGACGCCTGTGACATCACAGGTGACATCACTACCGCAGGTGACACCAGTTCCACTCCAGGTGACGTCACCCCTGCAGGTGACACCTGTGCCACTCCAGGTGACGTCACCCCCACAGGTGACACCGATGACGTCGCTGACCTGGGGCCCTTCCACTTCCCGTGCTACCGCTGGCTCGAGGGGTACAACACCTGGGAGCTGCCCGAGGGTACAGGTGAGCACACCTGGGACACCTGGGGACACCGGGGGACAGCTGGGGGGACACCGGGTGACAGCTGGGGACACACCTGTGACACACCTGTTCACACCTGTCGATGTCACCGCAGCCACCACGCCGGCCATGGAGCGACACCCGCGGCTGCAGCGGCAGCGCCGCCGACACCTGGTGCAACAGCGCCGGCGCTACAGGTGAGGGGAGGGGACAGCTGGGGCTGGCACCTGGGGAGGGGGGGTGACATCGCCGGGTGTGGCCCTGCCCTGTCCCCAG